TCCGGATTTGTCAAACTTGTTCATAATTTTTTTTTAACTAACAAATAAATGTCAGACCTATAGTGAAAACTGGTAATATAAAAATAAGTAGGCGAGCGGCGTTAGCATTTCTACGACTGTTTCTGCAAAGGAAAACTCCCTGCTAACACTGACACCCACATGATGAAAATAAGACCTTATTGTTCGTGTGCTAAACGGAAACCTTGGAAAAGGTTTTACAGCCTTTTCGAGTGCGGACCACATCGAGCGCTTCGAAAGCCACGTCGAATTTGAAAAGTGCTGCGCTATTCGCTCAAGCAACGACTCACTGCTCACTGAATTATTTTGCGTGGAAGTGAGACCTCGTCATCTGCAGAGGGCGGTCGTGCCAACCCGGAAGTGAGAATGTGCGGCAAGTGGGTGTAGGGTAGGTGGATGATAACGGATTATCCGTATCAGCGGTGCCGCCTCCGGATTATGACTGTTCATTTCATCTATCTACACTCGAGAGAAAATGGGGAATATGCTTTCCTGAGTGAGTCGAATGGGCCAGAGAAATTGGAGCAACCGGGGTAACTGGTGCATAAAGGAAAGGGCCATCTGCTGCATATTTCATCACATTTTTTATCGATTAAGTCAGAACGACCCCCACGAGACGACGACTCCCATGGTATTGCCAGATGATGGTGATGATGATGATGATGAGAGTGGTGGGATATTTGATGGCAGAAAAAATCCCAAGACTACATGTAACCTTGAGTTTCCATGTGATTATTTGAAATCACAGGATTTTTAGATTAATTCAATTTAAAATCATGCAAATTAAGGTAAACTATATTTGAAATTATTAAATCGTATAAATTAAATGTATAGGATTTCTACATCACGAATCTTTCCGGAATCAGCCTGGACCTTGACCTCAGCAAAAGCAAGGTCACATTTGGAGGCATAATTGCGAACTTATCAAGCAGGAATGGGGGGAAATAAATTTGGATAAAGCAAAGCATTTCACACCCCGGAAGAAAACATTACTCACAAAATAGGGAATTAATTTCCTTATCCAGCCTTGGAAGGGGGATGTAATTAATAAAAAAAAACGAAGACATGGTCCCTGCAAAGCATATTACGACGACTATACAGAATCAGACAAATTTCCTGAAGACAATCGGAGCAACGGACTGCAATCCACAAGAGAAAGAATCGATGTCTCTACCTTCGTGGGAAGGACGGGATGGAGGTTGTGGGTCCCAGCTTCCGGGGGGGCGAGAAGGAGCGTGGGAAACATCCAAGGCTTCCAAGGATGCAAATGGAGGAATTTAGCAAGATGAGACGCGCATTTACATTTCTGAGTTTTTTTTTGCTTTTTTTTTTTAATCAGGCTACTTTGAAAAAGAAATGAGGCTGCTCATGTGTCTGATGGCGCTTCCTGTGTCTGTCTGTCTATCAGAGCGACCTTTTGTCAAAGCTTGTGGGAATGCTGCTTTAAAAAAAACGCCAAGCTTCGCTATTACGAATTTGGGGAAATTGAGATTTATTTGTTTCGGAGTCATTCCCTGAAGAAACTCATGAAAATTTATGCAATTCGTAGCTCTGATAGGAGGGAGTCCTGAGTCCATTCCTAGTATCCTCTTTCCCTTCGTCCGTCATATCCGCCATTACTTCGAGCTTTTCCATGACTACGAAAGCAAAAATAGGCTCAAAGGCTCTCAAAGGCTCCCATCAACGAAAACATAAGCATTTCCATTGAGATATACTTGAAAAACCAGTAGTGGAATGGCAAATGTTTCATTCCGATTTATCTAGAGATGATGGCAAGGATATTGGCTGAAAATCGGGGGGGCATACTCCGCGCAGCCTGATATATTATTATTCAGTAGCGCAGCGTTCGTTCGCAATGAAGAGTTGATTGAATATGTTTAGAGCGGGGGACGATTGGAAAGGCCCCCTCCCCCCCCCCCCCCCCCCCCCCCCCCCCCC